ATTAGAGAAACTACTTTACTAAAAAAAGCACACGGTCCACGAGAAACTATAAACAAAAGCCGCAAGTCCGCTTCTGAAACTCCTATCAAATAGAGATAAAAGCTTGGATGGCATAGGTGAGTCCCAGATATTTAATCAAACAAGGGTAATGCGTCTAGTTGCGCGATTTTTACATATCTGTCGTAAAAAAGATTTCCAGTTAGCTAATGTTATCAGACCTAGCTTGATGTTTCAGTTATGGAACCTCCAGTATATCGGACCACATATCAGCGGAGTGCGAATTGAATAAAACCCTTGCATCTGTCTGGGGATCATTCAAGCGACTACGTATGGGAAACAAAACATTATAATTATTTCGTGCAGTGAATAAAGGATCTTATGATTGCACGTTAAGAGTGATACCAGATAGCAAAGCACACTTACGCAGTGGCCGGATCATCTATCAATGCTAGAAGACGCCGCCGATATGCCCTGCAATAAGCATTCAGATGTCGAGCTCGTGTCAGCGCAAAGTGCCATGATCGTCGTGATTGTACTCGACGAGTATCGTCGCTAACTCGATTGTAAGCAAATCGCCACCAGGCAGAAGCACTGAAAAAATGAACCGTAGAGAGCTTGCTAAGTATTCAGTCTTGCCCTGCACTTGTGTTTCAAACGACCATGGGCAGAGCTAGGACAGAAGCAGAAGTTGCTAAAGTGGCTACAAAGGCACATTGAATGGAAAATGCCCCATATTCTAATCTCTTTCTGATTTCCCTTTTTCCCTCCCTCTTTACGAAGCTAATTTTTGAAGAAGATTACTGATCTTGAGCTCATGAATTACGAAGTATACATTTTGTTGAAAACGCGCTTCAGATGCCAATCTAAATGATGTCAAGGAAACTACAACTCTAAGGACGGCCTCTTCAAGACTAAAGAAATGAACAAAAACTGGACTCAAACAGATAATAAGCAAGGAGGGCGAGTTCTCACGGAGCTTCGACGATCGACTGCCGACATTTGTAGTTTGCCCGCAATTTTGTCCATAAAGGTAAATAGGTAACCTAGACGTGAATGCGATATGAATTTTCACATGATTTGGGGCCGCAACCTCTTTTTTGGTTTACATTTCTTTGCCTATCACCTCCATATTTGTGACTAGCGTTCTTGACCCTATCAATTCAAATAGACCTCACAGTTCCATGAGAAGAGTTGCTCCATGAGTTCCATGGAAGCATTCATCTGCCTTAGCTTTCAAC